CAACCCGAAAGCCCTAAACATCCCTAAATCCTAAGCCCAGGCACTGCAGGCTTGTTTGGCCAAGCAGAAGCCCCACCCCTAAACCCCAAACCCTAAGCCCAACCCATCCCCATGCTCAGAAACCCTTTACTCCTACACCCCAAAGCCCTAAATAACCTTCAGCCCCAAACCCACAACCCTAAGCCTTAAGCCCGAAACCCCAAACCGTAAACCCCAAACCCTCAACCCGAAACCCTGATAAACCCTAAACCATCAACCCCAACCCTTAAGCCCAAAACCCTAAACCCTACCCCTTATAAGCCACCCCGAAGCCTAAAACCCTCAACTGCGGCCCTGATGCAGTGCAGAGAAGCAGTGGACTACCACTAAGACCAGCTTGTCAGCACTCCACTCATCCTCCGGTCTTCCAGAAGGGGTTTAAGCTTTCGGCTTGAAGGGGTCAGGGCTTAGGGTTTAGGGTCAGGGTTTCGGGTTGAAAAGGTTTAGGGGTTTAGGGTCAAGGGTTGTAGGCTTCAGGGCTATACAAGACACGACTACGAATACCACTAAGCTACGACGACTACGACTATTGTTCTCGTGCTGGTGACCCATCACCCATAGCTGGCGCAGCTTTTTTTGGGGTCGGCACCTCTTTGACCGACGGTACGCAGGCCACGAGCATGAGACCAACAGGGGGGCAGAACCTCGGATCGAGGAACAAACGGTTTAGGGTTCAGGGTGGTTTAGGGGTTTAGGGTGGTTTAGGGTTTAGGGGTTTAGGAGTTTAGGGTTTAGGGTGGTTTAGGGTTTAGGGACTTGGGTTCTGGCGTTGCCACGAATCATTGTATTGCGGGCGTCTCAGGTTAGTCCTGTGGTTTCATGTCGGGGAAGATTGAGCTTGAAATGGTCGTAGCTTCAAGCCGTAGTCCGTCCGTGTGCATTGCATTCACCACGCCTTTGTGTGTGTGTGTGTGTAGGTGTAGGTGTAGGTGTAGGTGTAGGCGTGTCTGTCGACCACAATGATTTGTGCCAGCAGTGGGCGGCAACCACAGAAACATGTTAATTTAGAGAAACACAGGCGGGAACGCATGACGCCGGTGCTGCTGGAGGAGCTGACGCACGGCTGCCCAAGACATACTGCAGCACTTTCCGCAGCAGTAGATGTAGCAGCCGCCCTCTAGCGGAATGCAGTTCGCATTTCGAAGCTTGTAAGGGTACCACGACAGCAGAATGCTCAAAGCCTCAGTTGAGTGTAATGTCTTCCAGGTGCGTTTGAAAGCCAGAAACTCGTCAAACGGAAAGCAGGAGAAATCTTGAACCACGAGCCGCTGGAGGTTTAGGATTTAGGATTTAGGGTTTCGACCCCAAACTACCGATCCTCAACAGTGGCCTCAGCAGGTGGAATGAAGGTAGGTAGGATTAGAGAGCCCTTGCAGAAAGACTCTTACTACTTGGGATTACTCCAGCTACCTTGATCCCACCCTTTGGGCTTTTGGGAGCCTAAGCTCAAGACCGGGAAGCTGCCATCACCTCGAAGCCAAAAAAGATTCGGGCTTCCACGGTGTCCCACCTAGATGGCAAGTTCACAACATGGATCTTATGTCTAGACTCCTCCCGTCTTGGCACGTGGCGTGATGATGGGCTTAGTCGGGTTTAAGGACCACCACTGTCATCAGAGTCCCGATGGTGTGTGATACGCAATTCACAGATGAGAGTTGTGATCATTATCACCATTGCAAGCGCATTGTTGCCACAGTTCTAGAACATCGCCGGAGGAAGCTCGCCTGTTTCCTTATTATCAAATCCTTATAAAATGTCCTTAAAACGGTAGGTTCTTTGGGGTCTAGGTAAACCCGAAAACTGACCCCCTAAAGCATCGGACTACGACCTCAATGTGCCAAGCCGCTTCGAGACCAGTTCCGAAACGGTAGCCGGCAGGAAGGTCTTGCCTGACTGGAGTTTAGGGTTTAGGGTTTAGGATTTAGGGTTTAGGGTTTCGGATTAGGGGCTGTGGGGTTAGGGGGGGGGGGGGGGGGG